AAAAAAAAAAAAAAATTGATTAGACTAAATAGAGACTATTAAAAGAGAGCAGATAGTAGACTAGTGCCTTGAAAGGACTAAGGGAATGCAATTGTCAATGTAGAATTATGTACCTGGCTAAGAGAGAGTACAAATACAGATATTTACAAACTGACTGAGAGTTTACCATGTATCGACCTTGGTTGAGAAAATTATCAAGGGATAGACTAAGGAAAGAAAGGAAAATTAACCCAGAAAGAAGAATCTTTAAAGAGAAAGGGAATAGGAACTAAAGACATGGAGATAGAATATAGACCAATTCTTTTGTAATGCTTGGCTAAAGAAGGAGCAAAAGCTTGAGGGAGGTCTGAGGTTTTAGGGCAATTTTATTTGATTGCATTTTTGAAGACAACTTAATTGAGATATAATTCACATATCATGTAGTTCATCCATTTAAAGTGTACAATTCAGAGGCATCTGGGTGGCTCAGTCAGTTGAGCGTCTGACTCTTGATTTCAGCTGAGGTCATGATCTCACAGTTTGTGAGTTTGAATCCCCACATCAGGCTATGCTCACAGCGTGGAGCCTGCTTGGGATTCTCTGACTCCCTCTCTCTCTCTCTGCCCCTCCCCGCTTGTGCTCTCTCTCTCTCAAAAATAAATAAACTTAATAAAAAATAAAGTGTACAGTTGAATGGCTTTTAATATATTCGCAGATAATGTGCAACCATTACAATTTAGAATATTTTCATCACCTCAAGAAAAAACACCATATCCTTTAGCTCAGTAGCTACCATTATTTAGCTATTTCTTCAGTCCCCCACTCTCTCAACCTTAAGCAACCATTACAGTAGTCTCCCTTTCTGCAATCCAGAAGCAGATGATCCTCTTTCTGACATACTGTCAGAGGGTCAATAGTAGCTCAATACTTCTTCACAATGCCTACATCATTCACTTCACTTCATCTCATCGCGTAGGGACTTTATCATCTCACATCATCACAAGTAGTGTGAGTACAATATAAGATATTTTGAAAAAGAGAGGAAACATATTAAAAAGCTATCCAACCTCATAAATAATGAGAAAAGTACAAATCAAAAGCCGTAACAAGATTCTATTCTATTATGTATCCATCAAAGTGGCAAAATTAAAAAGTGTGAGAGTCCCAAATATTGCTGGACTATCAGAATAACAGGAACTCTTTATCCACCGGTGATCGGATGCAAATTAGAACAACTACTTTGGGAAAATAGCTTGGAATTATTTGTTAAAATTAAAGATAACAGGGTACCTGGGTGGCTCAGTTGGTTGAGTGACTTCAGCCCAGGTCATGATCTCACAGTGTGTGAGTTTGAGCCCTGCATTGGGCTTTCTGCTGTCAGAATGGAGCCCACTTGGGATCCTCTGTCCCCCTTTCTCTCTGTACCTCCCCCACTTGTGCTCGCTTGCTCTCTCTCTGTCTCTCAAAAATAAACATTAAAAAAAAAATAAAGATATACATACCTTATGACCCAGCAACTCATTCATAGATACATGCCTTAGAAAAATTCATGTATATATATATATATATATATATATGAAAAATTCATGTATATAAACAGATATATGAGTGTTCATAGCAACATTGTTTGTAATATTAAAAAATTAGAAAAACCTAGAGATCTACATTAAAATACTTAAGTAAATCATGGCATATTAATTTAGCAGACTAACATTTAGTGATGAAAGGAAATGCTACATGCAACAGCATAGATGAATTTCATAATCATGGTTGAACAAAAGGAGGAAAACTCAAGGAGTATATGTGAAGTGATTCTGTTTACAAAAGTGTAAAAAAGTGACAGAACTGGTACCTGGGTGGCTCAGTTGGTTGAGCGTCCAACTCTTGATTTTGGCTCAGGTCATGATCTTGCTGTTTGTGAGATTGAGCCCCATATTGGGCTCTGTGCTGACAGTGTGGAGCCTACTTGGGATTCTCTCTCTCTCTCTCTCTCTCTCTCTCTCTCTCTCTCTCTCTCTCCCTGTCTCCCCACCACCCCCACCCCCCACTTGTGCTCCATCTCAAAATAAATAAAATATTTTTTTAAAAAGTGACAGAACTGAACTATGTTGTTTTAAAGACAAGGGAATGATTATTAGGAAGTTAGGAAAGTGGTTACCTCTGGGAGAAGAGAGAGGGCTGTGATGGAGGGGAGGAGCACTGGGCCTTTGGGTGCTAATGTATTCTATTTCTTGACCTGGTTTTTAGTTACATTGGTATTTGTATTATAATTATTCAACAGTAAATACTTGTTTTATGTTTTTTTTTTTTTCTATTTATGTTACACTTCATAATTAAACAGTAAAGTACATTGAACTAAGATCAGGTCTGGGCTCTAGTTCTAGCCTAGTTTGCCACTTACACTCTTCATGTCTTACTTTTCTATCTGCTGTGTCCTCATTTTGCTGTGAGGATTACATTAAATAAAGCACTTAGAGATGCTTTATAAGTTGTAACGCTACTTAGAGATAAGGTGGTATTATTACTCAGGCATGTGATGGAATAACATTGGGTAGTTGATAGTATTATCCATATTAATGGAGTAGTAACCATGAAATATAATTATTCTGACAAGGATTTATGGGCTTAGGCTATGGAGCTAACAGTATGTTTGGTGCTATGGAAGACAAAAAATGCAGAGCCCAACAAAGGACAACAAATGCAGAGCTGCTCTCTCAGGGAGATAAGGTTCACTAGCACAACACTCAGAAAATAGTAATTGAATGAATGAATGAAAGAAAAGTGTTAAACTACAAGACTAATATAATAAATATATTATATTTATTATACAAAATATAATAAAGTACAAGTTGTTTAGTAGAGAAAATAAGCAGGAAGAATAAATCAGAATTTAAGTGTAACTGATTATTGTTGTGAAGAGTTTGATTCACTCTTGAAATCTCATATGGAGCTTTTATGTATAATCTATGTTGTAGATTTCTGCAGTAATATCAACATAAAACACCACTTTAAATTTTTTTTTTTTCAACGTTTATTTATTTTTGGGACAGAGAGAGACAGAGCATGAACGGGGGAGGGGCAGAGAGGGAGGGAGACACAGAATCGGAAACAGGCTCCAGGCTCTGAGCCATCAGCCCAGAGCCCAACGCGGGGCTCGAACTCACGGACCGCGAGATCGTGACCTGGCTGAAGTCGGACGCTCAACCGACTGCGCCACCCAGGCGCCCCTGTATTTATATTTTAATGTGCCATCTGATACCATGGGAATGTCCAGTGTTGCTATCCAAGTAATGAGGCTTTGCTAGATAAACCTGGCTAGAAGGCTCTCTGGTTTGTGTCCTGTTTTCCTGGTCCCTTTCTGGTAGAGCTGGCATCATCTTTCTGATTAGTACAGAATGTCAAACTAAGATGACTTACTCTGCTCTTAACACCTTTAGCCAGGATAAAGTAATAAGTACTTTGATTGTTTAACTCTGTTGAGTCAGAGGAGGTGATAATCTAACTAGTAGAATAAATAATACCTGATCTGAGGGTGCTTGGCATATGTTTGTGGAGTGAACCTAATGGAAAACAAGATTTTCCATGAATAATCATAGTGTGGATCATCAGGAATGTAATACATCTACAAATATACAAAAACATGAAGCCATAAAAGAGCCCAGGATGACAGGAAGATGCTGTAGAACAGTATAGTTTCCTGTATGATGTGGAGCTCCTGCCAACTTTGAAGGGTCTCCTAGCCTACTTGTTACCTCTGCCTTCCTTGTATTTACAGGTTCCCTGGGTCTCAGCCATTTGGGTCAGTCCCATTGGCCCCTGTGGTCAGCCAGCCAGCTGTGCTTCAGCCCTTTGGCCCTCCCCCGACAAGTGCACAGGTGACTGCTCAGCTGGCAGGAATGCAGATCAGTGGTGCTGTGGCTCCAGCCCTTCCCCCTGTGGGGCTGGGCTATGGTGAGTACTGATGACCCCAGGATTGTTATTTTCCCCTTCTTTTTAAATATATATATTTTTAATGTTTATTTATTTTTGAGAGAGAGAGACAGAGTGTGAGTGGGAAGGGGCAGACAGAGAGGGAGACACAGAATCCAAAGCAGGCTCCAGGCCCCGAGCTGTCAGCACAGCCTGATTTTGGGGCTTGAACTCACAAACCGTGAGATCATGAGCTGAGCCAAAGTTGGACACTTAACTGACAGCCACTCAGGTGCCCCTACCTTCCCCTTCTTTTTAAAAGCATCAGACTCTGGTGTATACCCGAATCCCTTTTATTTCTTGTGCTTCTGAGGGCCAGCTGATAGGAATGGTCATTCCTGCCCCTCTCATGTGGAAAGGGGAAGGCAAAATGACTAGGGTTCTGACTGTATCTCTTCTACTTCTCAGGCCCACCAACATCGCTGGCCTCAGCCTCAGGAAGTTTCCCCAACTCTGGTCTGTATGGCTCCTATCCTCAGGGCCAGGCTCCTCCCCTTAGCCAGGGCCAGGGTCATCTTGGGGCCCAGCCTCCCCAGCGATCTGCCCCACCACAGGCCTCCAGCTTCACATCCCCAGCTTCAGGGGGTCCTCGGATGCCTTCGATGACTGGTCCACTCCTGCCTGGACAGGGTTTTGGGGGGCCCTCTGTGAGCCAGCCCAACCATGTGTCCTCACCTCCTCCTCAAGCTCTGCCTCCTGGCAGCCAGATGACTGGGCCCCCAGGACCACCACCACCTATGCACTCCTCCCAGCAGCCAGGCTATCAGCTGCAACAAAATGGTAAGTTTTTCCCAAGGTCTGTCTAGAAGCCAAAGGCTTCAACTATTCAGGTGTTTTTGTTTGTTTAATATTGCTTGCTAAGTGGTGAACTAGATGGGTAGCTTCAGGGTATTATTACTAGGATGCAGGATTTATAAGACATTCTTTTTTCTTTTAGTTCAGATAGTGTGGTCTTTCTCTGAATGTTCATTACCTCTATACTTATAGGAGTCTAGTCATTTCCCTGAGGCCTTAAGAAGACATCAGGGATTTTGAATTTATCAACCTGTGCCCTTGTCTTTCAGGTTCCTTTGGACCAGCCAGGGGCCCTCAGCCCAATTATGGAAGTCCCTACCCAGGAGCATCCACTTTTGGCAGTCAGCCTGGGCCTCCTCAACCACTGCCTCCTAAGCGCCTGGATCCTGATGCCATCCCAAGCCCTGTAAGTAGATACTTATGTGGTCCTAGGGAAGGAGTTTGTGGCTGCCAGATAAGTGAGTCAACCTAGATGAGATGTTTGCCTAGCGTTTTCTGATTATTTTCCCTTTTCATTTATCTTCTGTTAGGTATAGAACCTAGATGTAATTTTTGACTCTTTGAACTGGAACTTGAGGCCCCAGAAATCTTTTGGGGGCACTTTTACTCTATAGCTGGGCAGGGAAGAAAGCAAAGCTAAGAGTGATCAGCAGTGTCAGTAGACAGCTGGGTTGAGTACTGCCTTCTGTCACTATTGGACATAGCATGGTAACCTCTACCCTTCTGTGGAGTAGTAGCTGGGTCCAGGTCTTGTCCTTTTAGATTTAGTAGGATAGCAGTCTTCTTAATGGGTAGATCTGGTAGGAATTCTCTGATGGTAGGTGTTAAGAGAAGGAAAGCCTCATTGGTTTCTCTGTGTCCCTAGTTGGACAGTGTTTTAGGAAGAAACCTCCAGTACTTTTGTTGGCTAGAATCCTGCTGTGTGGATGGGGGAAAAGTGATCTACAGTTTATAAGGGCAATGTGGGGAAGCTGCTTCTCCCAGGAGGGGGGTGAATTTCACTCTTACAGCCATCATCAGAATCCTTAGGGCTTCCTTATCCTACTTGGAATAGAGGCTGGGACTGTACTCCCAAGTGGGGGCTATTTTATAGTTCTGTCTGCAACATTTGCTATGTCAGTTACCTCACCATGCTTAGCCATTGTCATATTCCATTCTGTTCTCTTTCCTCTTCCTTTGGGGAATTACCATGGTGAAGGACCATTTTGGCTAAGAGCGACCCTAGAGGATTAAGCAGCCCCTCCTTTTCATCTCCTTCAGGGAGAAGTAGAATCTGGGTTGGATGTGAGGAAAGGCTTCTTTAAGCATAAGCACGGTCCTTAGATGGGAGTTTGGCCTTTTGGGGGGAACATCCCTCTTCTTCCTTCTTAAGATTTCTCCCATTCAGCCCCTCTCTCTAAAACTTGCTTCCTATTTGCCACTTTATCTTTCTACATCATAGTCTGAGCCATTACAGCCTCTGTGTTGGGCCAGAGAGCCCTGGAATTTCTGACCTAGAGGGGGCCTGATTTCAGCAGTATGAGCTGGGCTCCAGCTATTCATGTCTAATTCATCAGGGTCAAGAGAAGTAACATCTGCTTCTTGTTCTTTTGTCTCCCTCCCTGTATTCCCCTGCTGCCTTTATTATTAAAACACTAAAAGCAACTCAATGAGCTGCCTCCTCAGCAGAAAACCAGGCACAGAATAGACCCCGATGCCATTCCTAGTCCAGTAAGTGCAGGGGGTGGTGTGTGTGTGCGTGTCATCCCTGTGTTAATGCCACCCATGCATGCCTGTGACCTCATCTTCACCTCATCCACCATGTCCATCCCTCTCCACCCTCTTCCCTTAGTCCTTCTAGACCCTCGCTTTTACAAACCAGAAGGATGTGCATGTCTCAAGTCACCATGTAATGAAATAACAAGCTGTTTGGCAGTGCCTTGAGTATGGGGTGGTAGAAGACCAGGCTGTAAGGTGGCATGTTAAGCTTTGGTTTTAGTTCTGCTGGGTCCTCCAGGAGCCTGCATGTGACATTTGAAGGAACAGGACAAAGTTGAGTAGTAGGTCCTTCCCCTTTGGGACTGATATGTCTACAGCTTGTGGAAAAACTTTGGGTAGGTGACTACTAATGTAAAAGTCTGGGATACTGGTATTTCTCACAGGGGAAGAGACTACTGGTTTGGGAAAGTGTGGGCCACTTTCTCATCTGGAGAGTCTATTTGACTCTGATATATTTCTAAGCTTCAACTCTTTCTCCTATGTAATATGGAGTCTTATTCTCCCTTTACTTTTTCTGGTTTTACAAACCATCTTGAAGTACTGACCAAAGGTCATCAGCCTACACAAAGATCTGATTACCAGCTTTGCAAAATCTTTTTTTTTTTTTCCTTTCCTTTGCTGGATCTGTCAAAATGTGGGGGACTGAGGATTGGGCTTGTAAGGATTGGGTACTTAATCCTCTTCTCCCATATTTACACACGGATGCTTACCTGAAAATAAGGCAGCATCTGCTTCCTCACCTTACCTGTTCATTTCTGTTTAATCCTCTCCTCACCCTGTCCCTTCTACTTTCATTGAGTGTAGAGTCATTCCAGGTAGATTTCATTTTTACATGGTTATCGTTGTCTGTTTTCCTGCTCTGACTCAGAATGTGTCTTGGTGAGAGGAGTGGGGGGGGGGGCATGTAATGTGGGAGGGAAGTGAAATCTGATATATTTGAAGGTTTGTGATGAGAGCTGGAACTTTCCTGGAGTGGGGGGAATAATGGGGTGGTCACCACTGATTGGGGGTCAGGGCAATTCATAAAGAAGCCCTTTCTCAGTGTTGACTGTACAGCATCTTGCTACTGATTATAGAGCGGAAGATTGGCATTGTAGCATTTTATGTGATCTCCAGAACGAGAGCAGGCCTGGTGCATGAAGTGTTCTTAGCAAATTACTAGTTTCTGTGCAGTAGCTCTAGACTTTCTTTCTCCTGGTTTTCTAGGACCTGGTACTTCCCTTTCTTGTGTCACCCTCACTCATTTCATTTCTTCTCTACAGATTCAGGTTATTGAGGATGACAGGAACAACCGGGGTTCAGAGCCATTTGTTACTGGAGTACGGGGCCAGGTGCCACCCTTAGTCACCACCAACTTCCTGGTGAAAGACCAAGGTAAGAAGGGTATTAATTCCTTCCTGTGAGCGCCTTTTCTCCAAGATTATCAGCTTATGGATAGGGCTTCTGTTAGTCTTTAATCAGAGACCAGTCCCTCTAGGGGAAAAGCCGCCATCAGCTCTAGCATATGTCGGGGTGATGAGGTGGATCAGCAATGGAGAGCTGGTGTCTAGAGGGATTCTGTGATCTGACTTAGGTTTTCTACCTCCTACTTCAGGGAATGCAAGTCCCCGATACATCCGATGCACATCCTATAATATCCCTTGCACATCTGACATGGCTAAACAAGCCCAGGTGCCTCTAGCAGCTGTCATCAAGCCACTGGCAAGGCTGCCACCAGAGGAGGTGAGTCAGGGAAGGGACTGGAGTATAATGAAAGGGAGGAAGAGAGGGGGGAGGAAAAGAGGGGGCATAAGACTTCTTCCTGAAAGTGATTCTAGCAGTCACAATGAAAGAAGTCCTGGTTGGGCAGGAAGGGAGAGTACCTCAATAGCTTTCTACCCAAGGGCCCATGCCTGATGGGTGTGGTTGTGATGAGAGTAAAAGCCCAAGAAGTTGTTGGGTGGGAGCATGGTCCATATGGGAAACAAACTGAAAAGAGGCAGGGCCAACTTGTAGGGGAGGAGACAGCTGAATGCAGAAGCCTTACGGTCATCTCCAGATGATTACAGGTACATCATTCTACTTTTATTCTATACTGTCCTAACATCCCTGGTGAGTTAGGGAATGTTAGGAAATCATATAAGGGAAAAAGGTAGATCAGGGTCCAATAGTCCTTCTCTTATCTGGCTTGGGCCCTGATTTTTCACCTCAATACCTGAAATCAGCAAGAAAAGAGAGAGAGAGAACTTGTCAGCTGCTCTGCCAGGCTTTGGCGGGAAAGTCTGTTTATGCCTGGCTTAATGAATTTAGAGTGGATTTCTCTATAACTGGCTCACTTTACATCTTGCCTCTCTGTCTTGCACTGTGTTTTTCTCTTTCTCTCTGGATCTCAGTGGGGATGGTTAGACATTTAGCTGCTGGTCTCTTATCTGTAGCACGGCATCTAGTTGAGACAATGGTAGATGTCACAGATATCCAGGGATGGGGAGGATCAGTGTCATAAATACCTGGTTGGGGAAGGAAGCAGAATCAAGATCCCTAGGGCAAGAGTGAAGAGAATTGAAGATAGGGCCTGAAACGAGAATCCTAGGGAATCTTTGGCTTTCTCCTTATATGCTTATAGCAGCCCCTGATTTGTTAGGGCCACTTTCACAGTTCTCTTTCAAGAAGGGGAATTGTGGAGATGAGGAGTAAGAAGAGGGGACTATAGAATTTGAACTCTTAGGGACATTCCTGTGCCTGGTACCCTCATTGTTTGTCTTCATTCCCTTTCACTGTATTCCCTCCTCAGGCAAGGTATCTCAACCATGCCCTTCTCCCCTCCAGGTTGTTCTTCTTCATCTACTGCCACATGTCTCAACCCGCTGTAGCTTTCCTTTGTCTGAGCCCCTCCCCTTTGCTCCTTAGGCTTCACCGTATGTCGTGGACCATGGGGAATCTGGCCCTTTGCGCTGCAATCGCTGCAAAGCATATATGTGCCCCTTCATGCAATTCATTGAGGGAGGGAGGCGCTTCCAGTGCTGCTTTTGCAGTTGTATCAATGATGGTATGTTCACAGAGGCTGGGATTGGGGGGGGGGGGTGTTCTGAATTGCATCTTCATTATTCTCTTTCTAGTTAGATAGGTAAGGTTCCCTTATTCAGGAACTGTGGAAGTAGGGCACATATGGGGATGTGGGGTGGTAGAGTGAGCTTAGCCAGTGCAAGACTACTAAGATTGAGAGTGGACATTTGAGTAATATTCTGACGTACTCCCCACAGTTCCCCCCCAGTATTTTCAACATCTGGATCATACCGGCAAACGTGTGGATGCTTATGACCGTCCTGAGCTATCATTGGGCTCTTATGAATTCTTGGCCACTGTAGATTACTGCAAGGTAAGAGAAAGTAGCATGGGGAGGAGAAGTGGGTGGAAGACAGTGAGACAGCTGAGAATTGCTGTGTTCATTTTCCTCACCCTTTCATTGTCCCCTCTGATATTGACTTCTCTGTAGTCAACTAGCCTGCTTACCAATGCCCTTCTCTCCCCAACATTTCCTTCCTTTGCAGAACAATAAGTTTCCCAGCCCTCCTGCCTTTATCTTCATGATTGATGTCTCCTACAATGCCATCAGAAGTGGTCTTGTTAGGCTCCTCTGTGAGGAGCTCAAGTCACTGTTAGATTTTCTACCTAGGTGAGACTTATGGAGCCAGGGTTCTTTTTTTGGATAATCACTGGGGTGGGGGTGGGTTCTGATTGACTCAGTAGGTGGAGAAGGTGGCCAAGTGTGGGTAACAATGTTACCTTCTACAGGGAGGGTGGAGCAGAAGAGTCAGCAATCCGTGTTGGCTTTGTCACCTATAATAAGGTGCTCCACTTCTACAATGTGAAAAGCTCATTGGCCCAGCCACAGATGATGGTTGTATCTGATGTGGCTGACATGTTTGTGCCACTGCTGGATGGCTTCCTGGTCAATGTCAGTGAGTCTCGGGCAGTCATCACCAGGTAAGAGCCAGATTGTGGGGATAAAGTGGGAATGGGGTAGAGACAATCAGAGAAAGTCAGTCGAGCAGAGGGGTCAGCAGATGGACAGGGACTGTGCCTCAGGAGCTTTCAGTCTGGGGTGGGGGGAACATGATTCTTCAGTGAATTGAGGGCTAAGGCATTGAATCTGGATAGCAATTTTGATTGCCTCCCATCATCTATCTTTTCAGCTTATTGGACCAGATTCCTGAAATGTTTGCAGACACAAGAGAGACAGAGACAGTATTTGCTCCAGTTATCCAGGCTGGGATGGAGGCTCTAAAGGTAAGGCTAGAACCCTGGCAACTTCTCCGCCTCACTTTCTTCTGACCATCTTACTCCCTGGGATATAACTTTCTTTAGTGATTGATGACTGCCCAATGAGTCAGCGTATCTGACATAATTGGCACCAAATAAATGATGAGGGAAGGGATGAATGAATAGCTGAATAAAGGAAAGAATGAACAAGTAGTCCTCTCTTTCCTAGGCTGCTGAGTGTGCAGGGAAGCTGTTTCTGTTCCACACCTCCCTGCCCATTGCAGAGGCCCCAGGGAAACTGAAGAACAGAGACGACAGGAAGTTGATCAACACAGACAAGGAGAAGGTGTGGGATTGGGAGATGGGGGGAGAACTTTCTATTACAGAGGAAGGTGGTGACTCTTCATAATGTAGTACTTTTTTTTTTT